CTGGCTTCAAGTATGCATGACTTGCTTCAAAATCCAATAGAATTGAGTGGTCTATAAATGTCATTTTATATAAAAGTGGTCTATAACATGATATTATATTTCGTATGTGGCACTCTTACCTAACAGTTGCTACCCACGCTGAGTGGAGTGGATTCATCAAACTAAGTGAACTGGGTGGCTATAAAATTGGCCAATAGTTAATCATCCACCGTTTGTGATAACCATGAATAGTGGATGTCGGGTACTATTCATTATAATATAGGATATAATACATTTTCCCGCGTTGTCATGTATCTTACACTAAGACTGGAACAAAAGTTTTCGACAAGAACAACTTAGTAGTACCAGCACCAAATGAACATGGGTGCTCACATTTCTTTCAACTCCCCTCTAGTAAGTTTAGCAAAAATATAGCACAACAAACCCTAAAAACTCATGAAAAAATGCAGAACCATAAAAACCTAAATTTCAATAAAATAACAAGGAGACATCTCAAAACTTGGTTTCATGGTCATGTCTCACCAAGAGATTGATCCATTAACTCTACAGGTCTCCCATCAGACAACAATTACCTCATAAAGAATATCTTTCAAAGCACCTTAATTTCCTATGTTCAGAATATGAACATCAAATAAGCAAGGACACTTCAGTAAATTGATCAACTTAAGAGGCCCTAACAAATGAAGGGAGTACCCTACTTGTTTAAGGTGGATCAAGTTATTGATAATTTCCAATAGTAAAACACCAAAACTATAGATATCCGACTTCATTGAGATATGCATGTACAAAACCTAGTCCGAAGATATGTAACCACTGCATATGTTGAACAAGAGCTAAACAATCAAAAGAAGAAATGAATAATATTCATAATCAAGGGTATATATATATGCATTTTATTCATTTCTTCTTCATCTCTACTAAACATATATGTATCAAAATGTTCAGTGGATAATGGTTGATTTGAACATATATATTAAAAAAAGGGTTCCATACTAATCAACGAAATTAAACATATAAGTGCATGAAGTTGAATTTAGAATTCTTGGACCAATATAAAATGGTCCACAAAAATTTGAAGTTCATCAAGTGCCTGATTTGATAGTATGAAATAAGCAACACAGGAAATGAAAAGTCGTTGCAAGCACCAGGCAACAAAAGAAGGAAGCAGGAACAAGATATCCATATATCCATCACATCAGTGAATGTGAAATTCTTTCCCACCCTTGGTTAATCCAAAGGGGCTAGTTGACAGCGGCTCATAAGGGAATTCCGTTAGAAGTCTCTGGACCTCTCTCTTTCGAGGCCTCCTCCTTTTGGGAGCCTGGTTCCAATTCAGGTTTGAAACTGGAACAACTTCCTCCACGACAACTATCTCCCCCGTGAAATGCGCATTGCATATATACTTGCGCTGTCAGTGCCAAGTGGAATGCACTTAGAAATTCAAACAGTTATTCAGGCACAATGGCTTACTCATAATATAAAACAATGCCAATTTACAGATGCAGATAATCTGTAGGTCGTTTTTAGGCATGTTACAAAAAATTTTCTCAACTAATGAATTGTAATCAAGTGTTATCATTTCGAAATACCCGGCATTTAATCCACAAACTTTTTGATAAGGAGAGTAGGTTTTTTTAAGACACATATATGCTTACATCCTGTCGGCGCCACGTGGAATACATTTGTAAATTCAAATTGTCATTCCAGCGCAATGCCTTACAATGCTTTAAGGTAACAAATAATATATAAAACGATGGAAATAGAGAGTGAGAGAGAGGGGCATGCTCGGAGAGAGAGAACCCCAAAATAGAGAGAGATGGGTTGACAATGTGTCAGGAAATCACTAATACTGTCAGGAGGGATATTAAAATATTAAAATTTTAAATTGTAAAATATTGTAATGAAAAAATCTTTTAACAAATTATAAATTTGACTTCGGCATCATCCATTCAATTGTAGTTTATCTAATGACTTAAATTATGCCAACACATTGTTGCACCTGCATCTGAATCTGCAACCGTTGGATCATATAAGTTCCGGATCATATAAGTTCCTGTGCTTTATAACTTGTAGGTCCATTTTAGGCAAGTTACAATTATTTTTTCAACCATTGAATTGTAATCAATGTCATCATTTTGATGAATACCTGGCATTTAATGCACAATTTTTAGGAAGGAGAGTATACATTTTTTTTAAGACCAAATAAGTTTTTCAATTATAAGTATTTTACACAATTTTAGTAGTGGTAAGAACGATTAGTGATCCCCAAAGGAGTTCAATGCTATTTAGTATGTACAAGGGAAAACCTATAGATTTTTTTAAAATGGTAAAATATAAACATACGTTGTTCTTTAACTATATATGAAGTGAAAAATAAATTATTAATAAGAATTCGAATGAAGACTTTGTTATATAACATGGTCTTGTGGTACCATGCTATTTCTTATCTTTAGGAAAATTTAAAGGTTGCGTGTATTGTGTATTTCTATTTTGGGAAGGGTATGTATTAAATGTGGGATACATTTTTTTTTCGTATTTTGGGAGGAGTCATGGTCACACTGACTTTTCACGTTTTGGGGAAAGCGATATATTTCTGGGATGATATATATGCATGATTTCGGAATTTCTCACGTGTATAATGAAAAACAAGTTTGTGCTCCCGAATGAGCACAATGATCTTTAAAATTTTCAATGAAAAACCAATGTTTTTTTCAATATATAAATATAACAATAATATTTTGTTGAATTATTCGTTATGAAGCGAAATATAAACTTAATAAACAAGGTTTGCCTTAATACTTTTTTATATATTATGGTCTTGCGGTGCTTCTACAATATTTGTGAACCTATATTTGATACTTGGTCTCAACCGCATTTAATGCTGGCGGTCACTGTCGTTTTTTTGAAAT